CTCATGTTCTTAGAAAAACTGTGACTGCTGTTAACACGTGAATCTTAAATTGCCATAATTATATATTATATTTGAATATTTACCAAAAATGAACAAATACTCTGACAAGAGCCTCTAAAGAAAAAAATAAATAAATAAATTCTGCCCTCTGTGGCATCACCAAGAAGCCTTTAGTGACTCGGCTCAGACAAACGATCACATGAGGAGAAAGGAGACAAGCATGAAAGCAAATTAAAAATATCTATAATTAGAATAATTAACTAAAAGTATTAAAATATTTATTGAATGCAGAGTCATCCTTCTTTTTCCTCCAGTATCGGTAACAAATGTGGGCAAAAAACTATTGATTCCAAGTTTGTGTAGAAGAAATAATCAAAGAAATTTAACATCTGTTTTGGTCATTTTTGTCATATTTTGCAGAAGACATTTGAGGTCTTCTCTGTGGTTGTTTTGTTTCCATAGAGGTGCAGGACTTTATGTTGCAGTGAAAAATGAGCCACAGTGAGGAAAAGTACGTCAGGAGTCAAAGGATGCCCAGAAACGGTGTGCTGTTTAAAGGCTTAAAGGATCATTCCGGTTTATTCCCCATTAATGTGGCTGAATGTGTGTATATCGGGGCAAAACGGCAGCGTTCAAATAATCTAAATGAATAATTTGAAATGTTTGTAAACACAGAAAACCAGCACCTGGATCGAACATGAGGCTAATTACATCAGGGATCTTCATCCGGGGATACGAGTTTTGTTAATTTGCTGCATGAACTCTTGCACTTTGTGAACTTTGGGAACTGCAATCCATTATTTGTCGTAAAAATGCTGCTATGCGCTGTTTGTCTGTTAATTAAGGCTCTGTGTGGCAGTAACTCTGAGCTAAAGACTAATTTCCCCGCGGAACAATAAAGCGCTGCTTGATCTTGATTTGCTGGATGAGCAAAAGTCGAGAGGATCTGTGCACAGAGCTTCTCCACGCTCACTGTTCGGCGTCATTCGGGCCTAAAAACAAACTGAAACTATTTAAAGCCCCATTTTTAAACTCTTACAAACGACAGAAACGACCGTTGAGGATACGGGGCGTTCCCTCGGTGCGGCACACCAGGTAGATGCAGGCGGCGATGACGTGGGCGGACCGGCGGCCGCGGGTCAGGTGTTTCATCAGCGCCATCTTGTAGAAGTTGAAGGCCGTGTCCAGACAGTGTTTGTTCATCTGCAGCTGCTGACCCAGAGTGTTGATGTGCTGTTTAGCTGAGGACACACAGGCAACAGCACGTCAGTTCACAGAAACACAGAAAAGTATCCCAACCTGCTTTCATACCCAACACGGGAAAGAAGAAAAACAAGCAAAACAGTAAAATGCAGGAGTGGACAAGAGGCGTGTCTGAGGTTCATGTTCTGCCTGAATAAATGCACTCAGTAGCTCTCATAGAAAACATGAACACGTCCTGGATACAAGCAGAAGCTTCGATCTGTTGGTGACCATAAACATGACTGTGCCAAATCAGATAGAATCCAGTAAACATGTTGCTGCACCGTCTGATTTATTTAGGGCCAAAAACGACGTTTAATTAAATATTTTGGCTGACATTCATGTTTTCCAACGTGGGAAATTTTTTGCGTTTTCACCCGTAGAAAATGTCTTAACTGGGAAGCCATTTTAGATATTTCCATAAATAAAGCTCCCACTGCCATGAAATTGGGCGAGTGCATAGACAGAATAGTTTCCCACAGAAGCCAAGGCCTTCGTCTTTACAAAATCGTCAAAACTTCACCATTTATTAGAGCCTGAAACTCTACAAAACAAAAAAACACATTGAATTTTGCACTTTCTGACCATCTTTGAACTTGAACGATTTGATAATCACCGGCCCTTGAAAATAGAAAAATAAAAAAGTGCACAATTTTCAAACAAAGCGGTATTGTCTCACCAGAGAGTTCCTGTAAGCGTGTATATATACGGATACATCCATGTTTTCTACTAAAATACAGTCTGTGGTTGACATTTCACCAACTTTTGAGGCATCCAACATCCATAGAATTTGACATAAGTATGGCTTCAATTTTTGCATTTTTTAATTATTCTGACATGTCAGAACGTTGATGTGGACTCATTGGCAGGAGACGAAAACTGGTGTTCATAGGGGTCTATATGTTGGTATTATACATGCAAAGATGCTTCCATGTTATCTTCATGTGGAAATTTAACAACATATGAGCCTTATTTTGCCTTTTCGAACGCTTGCAATTTACAGACCCCTATACACACCAGTTTTTGTGTTCCTACCAATAAGTCCACGTCACCATTTTTTCAAAATAGCACAAAAAAAAACAACAACAACAACAACAAAAGGCTAGCCATACTTGCCACAAACCAAATGCTACTGATGCTAGAGGCCTTTAAAGTTGGTGAAATGTCGACCAAAGGCTGTACTTTTAGTGGACATCCATATATATGCACTTACAGGAACTTTCCGGGGTCCCTTGTTTGAAAACTTGGGACTGTTTTCCATTTTTAAGAGCCAATAATTTTTTTTTAAAATGTGGCTTCTACTGGAGCCATTTATTTATTTGGTTCAACTGGACAGAATTTTCTCTGTGTCCTCACCAAAACTCATTGGATGATTGAAGGTGGAAACACAAAGATTTCCAGGTCTGTGAACAGAGGAAATTCTCACAATGCAGCCTAAAATACTGACAGAGTAAACGAATAAATGAATAAACGAATAAACAAACTCTGTCGAAAAGCACGGATGGTACCTTTAGAGCCTAGAACAAATACATACGACACTGCAATGAACGACAACACAGTGTTCCGACACAACGCAACCAATACAGTCAAACAAGTACAGGTGGAGTCCAAACAAGACAACAGGTAGACTGAACACAGAGCACTGCCTGCTGTTATCATCAGGGACTTTCTCTGCTTATTTCAAGCCCCATTTGGAGCATGAAGCCTAGATTTTGAGTAGGGTCTGGGTTTTACTCTTCCAAGTCAGGTTCTGGAATCATTATACCATCTAATAACTACTTCCACTTAGATTTGAAGATGTAAATACTGCTCTAATGCAGTCTTAAAGAAATGAAATCATCCTTTAGGCTCACTTTTAAACGCCAGTGTATGTCTTGGTTTGTGTTTCTGGTGCATCAGAACTGCGATGTTGTAATTACACAAGCATTACCTTGTGCAAACGACACACTGCCAGCATGTCAGGACACACACCTGGAGACGAGCACGAGGCTTTCATTACACACACGTGTGCAGATTTACGTGTGCACAACCGAGCCTGCATAACCACGTCGTCACACGCGATCACACACACACACACACAAAAAAAAGAACCGCGTGTTCCCGTTTTGTTTTTTTTGACACACCAGCACGCTGCACGAACCGGGTCAGATGGAACAGCAGCTGGAGACTCGAGACAAAGTGAGTTTATGATCGCTGCACTGCCTTTAAGCTGCTGTGTGCCTTTGTGTGTAAAGTTCACGGCCTCAGACGAGCTCAACATGTCGAACATCCTCCAACCAGATGTGTGCAACCTACTGAACTGAATGGGACGTCTGGGAATGTAAGGATCTGAGCTCATCCTGCCTCGTCATGCTGTTCAGATCGGGCACCAAACACGTCAACATCACGCATCGTCATCACCGGCCTAAACCACATCTGGAGCTGTGTGTGATCTTTCGTCACCAGCTTTACTGTAACTCTACGTAGACGCCAATTCACAGGCAAAGAATCTCATGCACAAAATAAAATCGACTCTTGTGGCCTTCAAATCCAGCAGAATAAATAATCCTGTGTTGCGTGTCTCGCCCTATTATTTGAATAATCCTTCTTTCAAAACATGTGCAATCACTTGGAGTCCTTGTGGGCAACTTGTCTGGTTTGAATCCAGACAGTCTTTTCTTTCATTCCATTGCACAATCAGAACGCAAACTACACAGGCGAAGACAACTTACAACACAGCTGAAGTCATACAAATACAGCTATCTAAACAGCTAAAAGACAGATAAAGTTGTAGAAACAAAGCCAGCTGGATAGCTTAAGGCAGCTAACAACTAGGCTAAAGTTATAATAAGACAGTTAATAACACAGAAAAAGCAAAATGACAGCTGATAACACAGCTAAAGTCAAAGAATGACAGCTAGCTAAACAGCTGAAGCTACTAAAAATTTGTAAAAAAAAACATCAGCTAACAGCTAACATCAAAGGGCAATAAAATTGCTGCAGCTAACATTACCTAAAGCTAAAGCTACATTTAGTTATTCATTTATTTGCTTAACTTTGACGAGGTGTGGTTCATTTGTTTGCCACATCTTTGCGAAGCTAGTGTCACAGAAAGTCAGCTAGCTACACGGCTAACATCAAAGAGCTATAGCAAAGGAAAGCTAGCAGCAGCAGTTGTCAAGGCTACAATTACCTGATGTCTGACTAGCTGTAAATGAAAATTACTGATTTAGATGACCTGACATTTTTGTTGTTCAGTTTGTTATTCCACTTAATAGTAATGTAGGAATACAATTAATAAGTTTGATTTATTTAAACTCTGATTTATATCAACAAAATACAGAAATTGAGCAACAATTAGAGGCAAACTAAATAAAAACCTGCAGACAGGAGACCAAAGACAAAAAAATGAACTCAAAACAACTTAAATTTAAAACTGTGTTAAGTCAATAGAAGGTTTAGTGTCTGTTGCTTTGCTTGAACTGAATTAGTTGTATAAAAAAGGGTAATATTTTTCCCTATTCCCACCACCTTCTTGTCAAAGATAATAAGTGGGGCAGAGAGTTGGGCTGCAGCTTTAATTAGGGCCTTTCTTCACAGGTTGACGTTACATTATTCTGGCCTTTACTTGACTCTTCTGCACAAACCTGTAAACACCGACTGAATCCTTAACAAGAGTCTCCAAATAAATTACACTGCATAACATTTACATGAACCAAAAAACTGGGACACCTTGTCAGAGTGTGAGATTTACACATCAGAGGGAAGAATCCAGAGAGAGACAAACACACCTGGATGTGGTTCTAAAACAGTTAGAAAAGAAACAGCATTTCTAAGGTGACATTTGTGGTTCTTTCATCCAACCTTTTGCATACAGGTTAATGGGAAGTTTAAACGCTTTAAGTACATTTGTTGGATCATAAATATATTTCTGTTGTTTGCTTTGATTTGATGACGTCCCTGTTTTGACCTGGTAGTTGAAGAGGTTCAGGTGTGGATTTGTAGCCAGTCGGAGTCCTTTTCACAGACCATTTTGCGTTTTATTAAGAGAAACCATGATGCCTGAGAGAGTTTTTCTTTGTATTTGTTTTCATCCTAAATTTGGCAGTCTTAAACTCATTCTATGTCTTCTGACTGCATCCTTTGGTTTCTGTTGAAGAAGACCAATTTGATTTATTGTCACCACCTTTCAATAAAGTAGATCTATATCGCCATATGTGTTTATGTGCACTAGTATCTACCTCTGGTTCTTTTTTTGAGAAAGTTTCCAGGTTAGAAATCGTCTTAATTCTCAACACATTGCTGCTTTTATTCTCATCTGTTAACAACTGCCTACTTAAAACATCTGGTAATCATCTCCATCAGCTTCTGAGAAAAACATCTGGATGTGAGCAGGTTGTGTGCAGCAGGTTTATTGCTGCAAACAGCTGCATAATGTGGTAACTGCAGTAAATGAACTGTGGATTCAAAACACTGCCAAAAGAGTCTGAGCAGAAGTCATTTGATGTCTAATATTAAAATAACCAGAACCACAGTATCAATAAACAGTGTTTGCTTCCAACTCGACATTTAGTCTTCAGTTTGTGATTCAGGCTGTTCAGATAAAGTGTGTTTTCACACCAAAATCTGGCCCCCGAGCAGCTTTTAAAGCTATATTTAAATTCCAGGCATCACGCCTACACTGCAGCACATTGTGGACCAACACATGAGAGGCTGGTGATACGTTATTGCCCAACGCAGCTACACAAATACAGGAGGAGGTGGGGTTTGTGCTCCCAGACATGAATCCATCGGTGGGGAGACAGTGGAGGCGCAGACGGCCGCTGGGGAGCGCTTCTGGAGGACACAAAGAGGAAGAAGAAGAAGAAGAAGAAGAAGCAGGAGAAGAAGAAGAAGAAGAAGAAGAAGACGCCTGCAGACTCACAAAGCCACAGACGGCCATAAATCTTCCTACACAGCATGACGAAGCTATTCCCATCACTCCACTAATACACACAAAAACAACACACGGCCTCCCACACAGTGTTACACTACTTTACTCCATAGTCCCTCACCGTTAAAGGAACATTTCCACACTTTGGACATATTTCACAAGACTGACACCACACCCAGTCATTCTCTGCTCTCCAGCTCGGCGCTACTATGGAGTGAAATATGTACAGAACTCCTCGCTCACATGAAAACGTATCAGATCGATGCCGGCGACGGTCGTGAACTGATCGGCACTTTTGTGATAAAGTCATATTACACTACGCATTAAACAAATACTCTTGGAATTGTCTTGCGTCTGTTCGACAAGCTACACATATAGAAAAGATGTATTTTGCAGAAAGTACGTCGTAACAGTATAAAATACGCCTTGACACTTACAAAACTGCTGTCAGAAATCTATGGAAGTCCCGCCAACCCACAGCTGTCGTTCCAGTCCATTTTCCTTTGGCGCAATGCATGATGGTACATATTAGTGACCATCAGCTGTACACTACTTTTCACAGAGCATTGTGGAATACTTGTGTGGGGTGTAAGAGTTGTAACTAGTGGTGGGATACGATTTATCAATTAGTTCAGGGCAAAAAGAAAATCTAATCAACCCCCTAACATCTTGGCATACATACAGTATTATTAAATGTTCTATTGTGACAGCATGTGATAGCAGAGAACCTGTCATTGATAACGAAGGATGACTATAACTGAATACGTGAAACAGCAACAGAAGTGAAGGCGTGTTTTTCTCCTGCTGTTCTACGCTGTGTTCTTCATATTTTGCTGTCCACATCTGAAAGCATTATTAGCTAGTGTTTCCAGGCACTGTTTCAAGGTAATCTACCCCTTCCAACCGTAGCCACTAGCCATTAGCATCGTCTTAACCACCGGAAAAGAAGCTAATGCCCTGATTTGGTAGTGACAGATTGCGTTTCTCATTGAGTTTTTGCAGGTTGTGCCTCTGCTCAAGAGACGTGTTTTTAACGCAGAAAGGTGTGACAGTACTTCAGAGAGTGTGAGCCGCCGGGCTGACAGTTAGCCTCATAGCGGTAGCTTTGGCCTAGCGTCGTCTCCAAAATAAGTTCCAGCTGCACGCCAACAATTAAACTATTTGGGCATTTTCAGTGTACTGAGCATGCTCGTGTACGATTGTGGTGTTTACTACAACCGCAGCAACATCAACTCAACCTCAACTTACGAAGTTTAGCCAATTCATCGGAGCTGCTGAAGTCTGTAAATGTGCCCATCTGTCTCTCTGTGCAAACAATAGTTTTCACTGTTGGTTGGCTGTTGCATGTGACCAAACAGATAGAGCTGTGGGCGGGACATTGCTGAGGGTGATAGGCTGCATCAGAGCCCAAGTGGTGCATTTAATGTATTATATCGCTACTCAGTTAAAAAATAACAACATCAGTAATCGGAAAAATGCCTAAAAATCAGCCTGTCAGTTTCTATCGCAATAGAATATGTACTCCCACAATGCTCTCTGCTTGCCAACACAAGCTGCCTGTAGCCTGAACTCTACAGTACTAAACAATAAGAGGCTCCATCTGGAGGAGCAAACAGGTACTACATCTACTCGACAATATATTTTCTGACACACATGTTCGTTCGCCTTAACATCGTAACTGCTAGCCATACTTATCATAGAACAGTGTATGCTGTTTATCAGAGACAAAACAATTAAGCTTTTATTTAGTTTAATTAGTTACTATTATTACTAATAGTATTTACGGTTTTACCCTTCACTTTCTTTTACTGCACTTGTTATGGTGGTATTGTAATTTTTTATCCAGTGTTGTATTGATTCATTTTGAAAATCTTTCAGCATGTGTCATTCTTTTCTTTTTTGCCCTGTCTGTAAAGCACTTTGTAAACTCTGCTTTTAAAAGGTGTTGTATAAATAACGTTATTATAATCTGGTCGCTTAGTCGACTAAAACTTATGAGTCTCATTCACGGTGTTGTTGACTTTGATGTTGACAGTGAGCAGCTCCTCCTCTGACGCCACAGCAGCAAAGTGAACAAGGCTGCCTTCCTTAATTGATTTATTGGAGACTTGTTTTTAATTACAGCAGCACCTTATCTCCTTGGTGACACGAGCGTCTAAGCTGCACACTTGTCCTTTCCCTAGAGTTCAAATGACCCGTCTACACAAACGCACACAACCTGCTGTTACTCGGCGTCCGCTGCAGTCGGACAGCTCTGTCGCCGCGGTAACCAGCTGCTCAGAGTCCAGCTCCGTTGCCGAGCAATTTGACTGTTTCCGCTGCTGATGCCTTTTTGTGTCTTCGTCAGCGAGAAGCCGCCGGCCCCTCGTAGAGATCCCCCAGAGGAATCCTTATCTAGACCTATTTCTACCTGTTTTCCTTCCTTCGACTTCCTTCCTTGTTTCCATCTTCCCTCCCTCCCTCCCTTCCTTCTCCTTTTCCTTCTTCCATTCTTTTCTTTGTTCCCTTTCTTTATTCCTCACTTTCTTCTAACTTCTAACCTCCTCCCTCCATCTCCTTCCTTTTTCCACTGCTTTTTTCCCCCTTCATTCTTTCCTTCCTTCCCTCCTAACTCTCTTCCTTTCCTCCCTGACTATCTTCTTTCCTTCCTCCCCCTGTTCCTTACCTTTCCCTCTCTTTTCCTTTCCTTCCTTTTGTCACTGCTTTTATCCTTCCTTGCTTCCTTCCTTCCTCTGTTCCTTACCTTTGTCACGGCTTTTTTCCTTCCTTCCTTCCTTCCTTACCTTTGTCACTGCTTTTTGTCCTTCATTCTTTTATTCTTTCCTTCCTACGCGATGATTTGATAATTCGATTTAATTACTCTGACAAAGACTTGTAAGAAAGATTTTGTGTGTTGCTGCACTGAGATTCCTTCAAATTAAACGATGCACATGTCACAAGACTGAAATCTTCACTGTTGTCTCATCTTCTTCGTATCGTGTTCTTCAAGCCTGATGAATAAAACTAAACTTGTGGCTCGAAAACTTCAACATTTCTTCACTTCAGCCGAGTTCAAACCCTCCTGACAGATTCACACACGTATGTCTGAGCAGCATAATAATAATAATAATAATAATAAGAATAATAATAATAATAATAATAATAATAATAATAAAGGAGGAGTGTGGCGCCCCCTGCCAGTCGCTCACCTTTCTGCAGCGTCTGAGCTCTGGACTCCTTCCCAACTCCTGCCAAGTGAGAATCTCCAAAAGATGGAAGTTTGGCGCCACCTGCAGGAAGGACGACACAGATGCTGTTTGTTTATCACTCCTGACACAATTTAACTCACTGTGGTTGGTTTTTCATAAACTCCTGCAGCTCTGTGGAACCAGAACGACACGAAGGAGGAGACAGAATTCAGAGATGTCTTCTGAGCAGCAAAACACATGTACAACGAAGGAAAGTCTCTGTGTCTATGCTTTCTTCTGAACTACACTCTATTGCCAAAGGTATTCGCTCACCTGCCTTGACTCACACATGAGCATAAGTGACATCCCATTCCTAATCCATACATTCAATATGACGTTGGTCCACCCTTTGCAGCTAGAACAGCTTCAACTCTTCTTCTTCAACTCTCTGCTGTCCACAAGGTCTAGGAGTGTGTTTATGGGGATTTTTGATTTGAGGTCACACACTGATGTTGGACGAGAAGGCCTGGCTCTCAGTCTCCGCTCTAATTTATCCCAAGGGTGTTCTATCAGGTTGAGGTCATGACCCACCGCCACCGTCGGTCGGACTGAAGGCTCAGCACCCACACCGCCCGTCTGAGCAGGATCTGAGAGCAGCTCTGTCTGCTGTCAGCCTAGACTCTGAAACTCTAATCAGGAGTAGAGCACGAGCCCAACTGTCTCATTAACTTCAACAAATGACCTGATTAGGCGAAAACTTTATTTTCGAGTACTTTTGATATTTATTTTATTCACTTTTGAACATGCAGTTGTCATGGTCCTCCTTAGTTTCTGATTAATTTGCTCAAAATGGAGTGAAAATATGTTGTTTTGTGGCCTTTTTTAATTTTGTGCAGTTTTGTACATGCAGTGGTCATGGTCCAGTTACTGTGCATGGTTATACGCTCTGAAATGAATGTTGCACAGGAAAATATATTGAATATTGAATTCTAAAAAAAAAAAACTGGGTCACGACCTAATGACCATGGGAAAATGTGGGTCCTCGGGTGAGACCAGTTGAGAACCCCTGGAATAAACCAGAGCACAAATACTGTTCTCTATTGTCTTACAACTAAATAAACTCTTTATTATTTGATTTTGGACTGTTTGATGGAGAAAAAAGAAATCTTCAGCTCTGGGAAATTGTGATGAACATCTCTTTTTTTTTTTTAAACTACTCTTTGATGTTTTAGAGACAAAACAATTAACAAAAGTTAAAATAACGCCATTTAGAGAGTCTTTACCAACAAACAGCTTGATGTCAGAGCCGCACGGTGAACTCAGACAGGACTTCGGTTTTGTCCAAACCAAAAGAAATTCACTTTATAAAGTTTTTTAAAAAAGGAAGAAAAGCAGCAGATCCTCATGTTTCAGAAGCGGGAGAAACAGAATATTTGGAGATTTTGCTTAAGTTCTCCCTGAGTAACGTATGAACATGTCCTGAGTTTACGCTCAGCCTGCAGAGCAGCGATGCAGTGGCGCCCTCCAGTGGACGCTCAGCTGAACTACTGCAGACTCAACAGTCTGAAGGTCTGCGATGAGTAAAGGTGAGCGATAAGCAGTCGATGCACTCATGGAGAAAACTATTGGATAAGAAACTTGGTGCTCACAAACAGCCACCTGAAGAGCAGAAACTTTCTGCGAGTGTTTTTACAGTTCTGTGTCTTCATAACTCATCAGCTTCAATTATTTTTATTCATTTGCAAAAAAAAAAAATATGTAATTAACTTCTTTCCAAGGCAGTTTCTTAAAAGAGGAAACAGAACCTCTGTTGATAATATTTTCTCACCTTTTTTTTTTTTTTCAAACCTTTCTGTCAAACATCTGCTTCAATCAGAATACAGATTTGTTTTTTTAAGCACTAAGGATGAATAATTAATCGATTTCAAATCACAAAAGCTGCAATTTAGAACAAATGTTGTGGGTTTTTCCATCTAAAATCACCAAGTTCCTTCTTCAACCAACTCTGATTTGCTTTAAACTTTGTTATCCTAAGCTCTGGATATTTAAAATGGTATCTGTGAGATTTTACACATGTAAATCCAATACTGTTTTTTTTTTTGTTAATTTCTCAATTATTTTCTCAGTTGAATAAGCCCTGTGGTGAAACTTGGATCAGACCAGCAATCAGTAGTTTGTGTGGTAGAACTTCCAACTCTCATATTTAATATTACATTTATTCTACATGTTTAGTTTTCTTTTATTGCCATTTGCAGCTTCATGTGGTTCAGAAAATATCACTTATTTGACTTTTGCTTTATTTTTTTTGCTATTATGAGCTCAAAGATAGAACCACTCATGCCGGCTTCAATTTTTTTTTCAATATTTAAACTCCACCTTAATCAGAGATCACTTGATCTACTTGTCCAATATTGCAGATTCTGAATCAGTGACTCGATGAAAAATAACAGTGAAAATTTCAGGTTTTTATCTTTAACAGTTCCTCGGATATCATTGCTCAAACATAGCCGCCTTTGTGGACATGTTGCTTGTGTTCTGTAATCAGATTGCATCTTTTAGGTTTCATGTTTCGTCTCTTTAGAGTCCTTCCGCGATTCTATGGGGCTTTTTTTGGACATTCATTGCGTCTTCGTGGTGATTTTCTGTCTTGTTCTGGACGTTTTCCATCTTTTGTTCTCTGTTTTGTGTCTGTTTCTATCAAGTGTGCATCATTTTTGTAGTTTTGCATCTCTTTCTTGTCGTTTGGAGTCATTTTGCATTCGTTTGTACTCGTTTTGCGCTCATGTGGACATTCTGGACGTGTTAGTCGTGCTGAACCTTGTGGTATTTTGTGTCTCTTTGTGGTCAGGTTGAGTCGTTATTGATCACTTTGCATCTCTTTGGACTTATTTTCATTGTTTTAGTGACTCTTTTTGTTGTTGTTTTTTTAACTTACTTGCGATTGCGTCACATCTCCTTGTGGTAACTTGGCATATCTTTGTGATCAGTTTGCACATTTTCTAGTTGCCTTTTTGCTGTCACTTTGCCCCCCTTTCCATAATTTTGCCTTTTCGTTGTCATTTTGCCTCCTTTTCTGGACGTATCGCATGTCCTAGTGGTCAGTTTCTATTTTCTCTTCAGTTGTTTTGCATCCGTTAGTTTTCAATTTGTGCCTGCAGTCGTTTCGCGTGTCTGTGGGGCTTTTTCTGGACATTTAGTGCACCTTCGTGGTGAATTTGTGTCTTATTTTAGAACTTTTGTTTTCCGTTTGCGTTGTATTTCTTGTTTGTTTAACAGTATTTTTCACTTACTTGTATCTCAGTTTGGACACTTTGCATGTCCCTATCTGTTTTGTGGGGATCTATCTCTCTGCAGAACGGTTGTGTTTCCTTGGTAGTCGTTTTGCTTGTCTTTGAGGACAGCTTATGTCTCGTCTCACCTTCCGAAGAGACGAACTGTCCGACAGCCAGCGAGCCTCCTCCTCCTGTCTCCACGAACTCCACCTCAGACACGATGATGTTGTCCTCCAGCACCGAGCCGCAGCTCATGCAGACCGCATCGCCACGGGCATGGTCGACGTCGATCTCCGAGCTGCCGCAGTTCTTACACGCCTTCATGGTGACGCACCGCCCGCCTCAAAGCCTGATGGGGAAAAAGCACGGAGGACATTTTCCATCATTTTGTTGTCATAGCATCGCTTTGTGCTGCTTTTTGATCATTTTGAACTTTCTAAGGGTCACTTTGCATTTGTTTGTGCTCGTGTTTGTGCTCGTTTTGTGTCTCTTTGTAGACATTTTACACATCTTTGTAGTCGTTTTCAATCTCTCTGTTGTCATTTAGCACCATTTCCTGTTGCTTTTTTGTATTTCTGCATCCCATGACGGACATTTTGAATCAATTTAGGGACGCTTTGTGTCAATTTGTGGTTGGATTGCCTCTCATTTTAGACATTTTGTGATCAGTTTGCATGTTTTCCATGTCATTTTGTGCCTTTTGACAGTCACTGTGCACGTGTTTATGCTTGTTTTGTGTCTCGTTAATATTCTGAATATCTTATTAATCATTTTTGATCTCCATTGTCATTCTGTGATCATTTTACCTCTCTTCTTGGTCATTTATAGTTGTTTTGATTCGTTTTGTTGTCATTTGGAGTCATTTTACATTTGTTTCTACTGGTCTTGTGTCTCATTCTGCACATGTTCTATTTCTTTTAAGGCATTTTCAATCCTTGTTGTCATTCTTTGGTCAGTTTTCCTCTGATTTTGATCAGTTTGCATCTCTGATGACAAATTAAGGTTCGCCGCATATTTTTTAGTTGCTTTGCATCGTCGCATTGCCATTTTGCGTATCTTTCAAGCCAGTTTGCATTAGTTTCTGCTAGTTTTGACTCTCTTTGTGTACATTCTGCACATCTTTTTAATCATTTTCAGTTTTTAGTGCCATTTTATGGTCAGTTTACCCCTCTTTTTAGGCAGTTTGCATCTCTGCAAGGCAATTTAGAGTTCACTGCATATGTTTTAGTTTTGCAACATTGTGTTATCATCGTGAGCTTTTTTTTTTTTTTGGTCTGCTTGTATTTTGTATTGTATTCAGTTCTAGTATTTGGTTTTGGATGTCAACTGGAGTAATTCTGTGTATTTTTGGAGTCATTTTGTAGTTGCTCCTACTAGTTTTGTGTCTCCTTGTAGACATTTTGCATGTCACAGGATATTTTTTTGCTGTTTTGCATCGTCCTGTTGTCATTTCGAGTCTCTATTTGGTCAATTTGCAATTTGTTTTTGTTTGGTTCATCGACTTTCCTAAAAGAAAATCACCTCAGACCGAAGCTCTGACCCTGGAGGTTTGCCGACCATGACAACACTTGTGTATTTTTCCTTGTAACGGAGTGTTTGAAACGGCTGAGCTGCTGGTTTCAGGTCCAGCTTGTTCTAGATGAACTGGTGATCAAATTAACTGGTGATATTCAGTCAGCGAGGCAGCTGTTACAGCGGCAATATAGATCATAAGTGACTGTGCCGACACCTGTTCAAAAAATCAAACGTTGTCAAACTCTTGCAAAAGATTCTTGCTGTCAGCTTCAACACTGGTTCCACTTATCGTTCTTGCTCTGTTGTGAGACAAAGCTGTTCAGCCTACAAATAAAACACGCAGTTTGAAGGGAGCTTCACCCAGTTGAGTGGAAACATCACTGAGCCACGGTGGAACAACCCCCTCAGTAGTTCAACAGCACCACTAGGCGCTTGTAAAGCGTGTAAAACAAATATTATGGCTTTTTGACGGAAGTTCCAGTCTGTTGTCTTCTTTGAAAACAAATGTTTGCGATTAATATTGTTTGAAATTACAGTCTACGACGTGGAGGACTGAACGTGTTTGTAGCGTTTTCTCGGCGTCGCGAGTAGTTCTGACATCGTGGCCTCGGTTTGTTCTGATGCATTTTCTCAAATCAAAACTCACATTCTGCTGTGTGTTGTTCTGGTTGGAGGCTGCTGTGTGAGTTTCAGTGAACAAACCCAAGTTAAAGTTCAACTTCTGCTCTGTATCTCTGACACTGAATGCACAGATTAACACACACAACAAAATGTGCATGTTGTGTGTTTGGTTGGTCAGACAATCATTAGTTTTGTGTGTCGTTGTTAAACAGACAGCGTGTGCCTTTGTTAAGTTGAGACTCTCACTAGTTGATCTGGGCGTGTTTCCTGAATAACCACCAGGTGTTAAACATCTGGCAGAATGGAAAAGATCAATAGGAATGAGAGGGATCCTAATTGAGCTGATCGGTGGCGCAGTGCGTAAAACGTCAGACTCGTATTTCTACTGCTGGATGACATAGTTTCGAATCCTCTCACCGGACTTGAAAAATACGTGTTTTTTTATTTTTGCTCAGGACGTTTGGTTTTGCTGTCTGTAGATGATATTGACATGAATATAGACTTTATTAACAACTGATGTTGACTTTTGTGAGGCATCTTTACCTTCACACACACACACAGGTCTGGTCAGGACAAATCTGCAAACGGAACATTTGGAGCGTAAATACAGCGAACATCTCCAGTTAACCTGGAACACCTTCTTTCTGTCCTGTGAAACTTTTGATGTTTGTGAATTTAAATAAGCCAGTGTAGCGCAATGTTATCTCAACCTGCCAATATTATATCAATGTATTGATGTTATACTTCAACACTTGGCATTCTATTATCACACAGTTTAGTAGCCTTCATGTCAACATAACGTACACACTGTGTGTTGGTCTCCTGTCTCCATTTCTGTCGTACTAGCATGTTCTAATAGTAATCAGTGAGAGATCACAGCTCCAGCGGTTCAGACTTACTTAGTTTCTTTCATGGAGCCCGACAGCGTCTGACTTTTAGAATGAGTAGACTTTTATTTCCACTTATTTTTGTCAAGACCGAAAAGAAAAGTAAAGCAGAAATCTCACTTTTAGAGACAAAGTTCTCAAATTGTTTATGTCCTGGTCAGTCGGTAAGGGCTCCTGAAAAGCCACGCCTACGAAACATCTGTCTCAGAAACGCGAGTATCTCCAGTTAACAGGATCACCAGTTCATCTGGACCAGGGGTCGGTACCGCAGCTCTTTCATACCTCTGCTGCGGCTCCTTGTGGCTTTGGAAAATAAATAACGAGTATTTAATTTAAATGTATTTTGTCTTAGTTCGTTAGTTTTTAAAATGTAATTCTAAATCAGAAGATTTTTGTGAACTTGTAACATTAAAATAGAACGTGTTTAATTTTTTAGTTTTTTTTGTCGCTCAAAATATGCGTCACACCCGCCGGCACGCGCACTGGTCCCAACTTGGTGACTTTATCGCTAAATGTGGTGACTTTCCAAATCCTCTTGGCGACTTACTTTTGTAAACAGCGACTAGCGAGAAATCTAGGGACTCATTCTGGTGCTATTTGAGACTTTTCTGGTGTTTTGGAGACTCCGTCGAGCCGTTCCTGTCCTCAGCCAGCAGCGGTGCTGCCATGAGCTCCTCCCGTCCCAGAGCGCTCACAGGCGGTCAGCAGTCTGGTCAGCAGTCCAGCTGCAGGCAGCAGGACAACCAGACGTCATTTTTACTTTGCTGCAGGTGGACGATTTAAGATCGGCTTTTTATTGCATATACACAAAGAGGATTCAAATAGACATTGAGTATTTTATTTCAAAATAACCTTCAACCCAGCGTCTTTTTTTTCTTTTTTTTTTAGTTCAAAATGTTTTTGTTGCAGAAGTAAAATGTTGTTTTCTCTGCAGCAGTTCATTGATTTTATAAATGCAACACACTATAGTTTTGTACACATAGCATGAAGGTAAAAACGATATATGCAGTGTTATCTTCATTTTAGTTGTCAAACAGGATTTGTGGCTCCCGGTGTCTTTTCCGAGGGAAACGGGTCCAAATGGCTCTTTGAGTGTTGAAGGTTTCCGACCCCTGGTCTACAACGAGCTGCTGCTCGCTGAGCTGCAGCCTCCAGCAGTGATTGTGCACAAACGTCTCTAGCCGGCAGCTACGTGGCAGCTCAGCAGCCGCCTGCTAGCTCCGCGTTTCCCCCGAAAATCGCGAGGGTCTCAGCGGAGTCGAAGCTGCCCGTAAACCGCCTCATGTGCCTCACCTGTCCGCGCCTCAGGTGGAACGAACAGGTTTGATTACCGGCAGCGTGAGCTGCTCACGTGGAGCGGCTGACAGCTGACACCGGGAAGCTAACGGAGCGCTGCTAACCGGCAAACCGAATACCAGAGCAAACACCGACGCGACTTCACGTGTGTCCGCCGGGTTCAACAGCCGGACACCGGGCTGAACACTCCCAAGGCGGAGCATGTCGATGGTGTTCGTACCTTCGGTCCGGTGGAGTCCCGCAGCAGCAGCCTGCAGTCACGCTGGGACGCGTGTCAGCCTCCTCGGAGCGACTGTTTCCTCCGGAAATTCCTCTTTTCTTTTTTAGGGAGTTTCTGGATCACTGCGAGGTTTATCTCGGTCCAGCCGCGCTCCGTTAGCAGCAATCAGCGGCGTGGAAGCGCTCACGGATCCAGTAATTAACACCGGCGCAACTCTCAGCACAACACGGCGGACATGTGCGTCTATTGCTGGCAAACCCGGGCGATACCAACGCTGCCCGGAGGGGTGTCGCAGTCCAAGACAGGGTTTAATTTAAGCTATTTGTGCGCAGAGGGTCACGTTTTAAAAACGACGGTGCTAATACTGTGCAAATGTAATGTTGTGTGGTAGAAAATCATCCCAGCATTAAGCATATTAAGTTCACACAGTTTTCACCGACAAAAGTAACACCTACACATGTAATGGCACCATTCCGGTTCTCTTAACCCTCTGGTCTCGATGCTGGCGTTTTGTGTCCACTTCACTTTGTTTTCTTTGACCATTTTAGCTGTGTTAATGCAAATGAAATGAAATTTCCCAAGGGTCTGGACATTGTTCAGATTGTTAGATTTTTAATTTCACCTCTTTAAATTAATTAAAAATATACTGTATATATACAGTTGTACCACTTGGCTCTATCGTGGCCACTTGGCCAATTGAAACCCATGCAAACGACATGTTTTAATTCCTTGCTATTCACAGTTCTGAATCATACAAGCTAGGTAAAATTGCTTTCATTTTAAACACAACACTTCAAAATGATAGTTTTAGATGTTTTCTACCAGATTGTGTCATTTGTCCATTTTTGGCCAAGGGAACAATTTCATGTAAAAGTGTTAGTTTCCAGAAGGGGTGTATGATGGCTTCCTGTCCTCCAGTGGAGAAAATGAATGACCCAATGTTGACATAGGTGTGATCTTTAGGATGTCAGATAATGAAAATTGCGCCTGTGTGAGAAATTGCAGTACAAAAATGAAAGCCAGAGTGAAATAAATTATGATGTTGCAGTGACTGTCTTTCTTTTTTCCTGAAGATGAGGACACATCCTCCTCAGAGGATGACAGCATCACCACTGATGAGGAGAACCAACCAGTGCCTGATTCCTCTTCCTCCTAATGCAGACACAGCAGTGGAGGCCAAGCAGGTCATGGCAGAGACAGAGGAGCTGGCAGCCGAATAGATGTCTCATAATGGGAAAATTATGTGGTTTCTCCCTGCTAAAGAGATCCTGCCCTATAATCCAGTATCCACTCATCCCAGGGCCCACCCTGTATGCAGCTGCCCGCATCAGCAGCCTGCAGTCTGCCTTTGACCTGTTTATAACAGAGGAGATGATTCAGCTGCTGTGTACCCATGAAACCTACATGGGAGCTGGAGGTGTGACGACTGGAGGGGTGAGGATGAAGTGGAGATGAGAGCCAACATCAGGATTCTGATTCTGGCTGGCATCTACCGCTCAAGACATGAAGCAACACAGGCCATGTGGAATGACAAGACGGGACGGCCATATTTCAT